TCCTCCGGAGCCCGTGCTGCTGTGACCCAGGCAGCAATGCGGAGGGATGTCTCTGGCTATGCCCGCTCAGGCAAAAACCTTCCCCAAAGAGGGGCCTGAGCAGCTGCCTGGCCGAGGTGAGAAGGAGGAGAGAGGATGTAGCTGCAGCAGCTCCGTCGCAGCATTCAGGGATGCAGCCAAGCGGGGACTGGGGCTGCCTAAGCTCTGCACAGCACCAGCCGTCCCTGCCCACTCGTCAGGAGCTCTGCGTTCACATAAACCTGCCTCTACGCCTATTATTTGCTTTCTAAAGAAGATGAGGTTTGTCTAACACTTGCCTCCCTAATCGGCTCTCTGAGCAGCCTCTTCCCTGCACCATTTGCTGCTCCGCCGTTATCTTGCTCAGCAGATTTGGATGGAGAACGAAAGTTGTTAAATGTAAATTCCACCTTTTACCTCCACTTGCAAAAAAAGGCGGAAGTCATTTTCCCCCTGAAAGATAAAAGCTGAGCAATGGCAGCAGCAGCGTCTCAGCCCATTCTCCTCCCGGCCGTGCGGCTCCCTTATCTGCTTCCAACTTCCATTCTCTTAACAGTGAAAAATGAATTCTTAAAAAATTCACATCAGAATTAGCAAGCAGATGAGAGCTGGCCACGCTCCGCTTATTAAGATGGCAGCTGCAGATAAACAGATGTCGGCTACTATCATCTCAATGCCCCCTCCAAGCCAAATCCACTGAGATCCGCCCCCTCAGCCTCCCCAGGGCCAGTTTGCACCATTGCCTGAGACAGGACAGAGCCCCTGGCCCCTGCAGACAGCAAGGCACCCCTGGAGCGATGGGCAGCCCTCCCTCCCCAGACAGCAGCAAGGGATGCTGCCTGCCCCCCAACTCCCATGCGAGCCTGAGTTTCCATGGAGCAGCCAAGGGAATGCAACTTATGAAAGGGTCTATGTCTTGTCTGCGGGCAGCATTGAGACCGATCTGGCATGAAGCCAGACTCCCCACGGACCTTGGGTCCCAGTCCTCCCCGTAACCCTGAGCCTTGCTCCCGCATACCCGCAGCCCTGCTGCTGACCCGCAGTCACGTCCTGCAGACCGCCCCCCACCCCACTTCTCTGGCCACACCTTCCTGCGTATCCTTTACAACCTCATTTTAGCAGATGTGACACCCCAGGGACCTGCCTGTCTGCTAGCCCCGGTGATACTGTGGGCTCCTAGGACGTGCACCCTTTCTAGGTTCCATGCTCCCTGGAGCAACCGTGGCAGCAAGCAGCCATATAAATGCTCCACAGGTTGTCCCTGCTGCAGCCAAGCAGGAGCTGGGGAGGAGAAGGAAGGCCTTGTGCTCACCTGAAGGACTGAGTGTCCCACGGGGCTGTTTTCGGAGAGCTCTGCCTCGTACAGGGCCTTCTCAAATTTGGGCGCGTTGTCGTTCATGTCCAGGATGGTGATGCGAAGCAGGGCACTGCTCGCCCGTGGCGGGTTGCCTCCATCCTGCACCTTGATGGTCAGATCATAGGAGTCCCACTGCTCCCGGTCTAGATTCCCCATGACGATCAGCTGTGGCTGCTTCTCGTCCTGATCCTCTGCCACTTGCAGCCCAAAGAGCTCCTGTGCCTCCGGACCAGCCGTCAGCTCGTAGGAAGCAACACCATTGGGACCTGAGTCCCGGTCCATGGCCATGGGGATGGAAAAATGTTTTCAGGGATGGAGAGGGTGAGAACTGGCGAGGCAAAGTTGGGGGTGTTGTCATTGATATCAAGCACCTCTATCTGCCCCTCGAGCAGGCGTGGGCTGCTGTTCTGGATCAGGTCAGTGATGGACACTTCGAACTCCAGGAAACAGGGCTGGCCGGGCAGGAGGTGCTGGCACTCACGCAAGCTCTCCCGGTCAATGGAGGTCTCTGTGGTGTAGATGTCCCCAGTCTTGCCATCTACACGTAAGTACGGGGCCCCTACTTCCAGCTTGTAGAGGTGCCCCCGGAAAGCCGTAGTCGGAGGCCAGGCTCCCTATGAGGGTGTTGGGGGGTTGTTCCTCCTGCACTTTGTAGACCACACGCGTCCCAGAGACCAGGGCAGGGAGCTGGAAGAGGAGCCACAGGCCCAGGCAGGATGCCAGCGGTTTCATCCTGCGCTGCAGGGGAGCTGCAAGAAGACACAGACACCGCACGTTAGGCAGCCCCAGGCCCCCGGGACTGCTCCGTCCCAGCCCATTTCCATGACATATCCTTCTGGGTGCAACCCCTGTGCTATGCAGGGCT